AAACCTAAAGACTGCTGTAAATATGAATCATTCCAGCTCTGTTCCACGCACGCTTTTAACTTAGCCAGACTCAGCCATTCACTTTTCCACATCTCCCAGTGAAATGGGTGGGAAAAATGGGTTTCCTTCTGCTGACTTTCGGCTGTTACTTCTAATACTGCAGTTGCCATTTGTACCATTGCGATACTGCGTTTGCTATTAAGGAGAGATTTTTTTTTTTTTTTTTTTTTTTTTTTTTTAAATGAAGACTACACTACCAGGTGGAGTGACACTTAAAAGATTTTGGCCCAATACATTTCACACTCCTTATTTCTTTACTATTGTATTTATTTGAACATGAGTTGAGATCTACAAAGGAAAACAAACATGTTTCAGACATGTTCCTCCTTAAGCTGTCGTTCACCTTCTGCATGTGCCATCATTAAGCTACGTAGTCATCCTTTACAGCAGGGGCATCAAATATAAGGCTCTGGGGCCAGAATTGGCCTGGCAAAGACTCAATCTGGCCCACTGGATGGCTTTGGGATATGTGAAAGAGGACATAGCATTTCCCCTTATGAAGATCTCCCTTATTGCCAATTATAAGACACCGGTAATAATGTAACAGATAAACAAAGATCAAAACAAAAAGGTTCCTGTTTTCTCACTCAACTTTTTTTTTAAATGAGTAAAAATAAAAATAAAACAAGGCATTTTCTATGAATTAACAAAAACCTTCAGTTTTGTAATTACAAGGGCGCGGGGGGTAAATGAGCCACCAGAAGCTTTTTCTGTAATTTGTACACATTTATTTATTTGCACTGACCGATTTCTCTCATTTCCAACAGCTACAGTTCTTTATCACGTAGAAAAATTAAAAATTGCACTTCTTTTTCTTATAGTAATTGGGATTAAATGTGTAGTCAAATGTCTTTACACTGACAGAAGGAGTGGAGTATCGCTGGTTCGGGCCAACTTAACATCAAAGTGGGCCGCATGTGGCCCATGATGTAAAAGGAGTTTGACATCCCTGCTTTACCTCATAGAACCTTTTCTCAGATTTATTGTTCTCATTTAAAAAAAAAAAAAAAATCAAAATGTATAAATAACAGGTACCTGTAACGACGCTGATGTTACAGATGTCCCTCAGAGCATAAATCTGGCCCGTCATTGCTAAACTTGTGTCTGAGCAGTCAACACAGTTCTTACGTTACGGAGTGGGTTTCCATATTTTATTTCAAATTGTACTTTTTTTTTTTTTTATTTTGAAGGTGAAAATGGTGAAACTGAGTAAATTTATTTAAATGTAAAAATGTAAATAACCTTTTCCAGCAGACAAACTCTCCCTTCCTGTTACTGTAAGTCACGCATATCTTACCGAAACAAAAAAACACACATGATTTGTACTGTTTTAGAATCCCATAGGAACAATAAAAAAAAATAAATGTGAAGAAGTTCATTTTTCTGCTCTATTAAAGTAGTTGATCAACAATTGTGACAATTCTCTGCTGCCTCAGTGATTTAAAAAATAAATAAATGGTGTTGATTGATCCTGGCTCTGGAATGCACTTGGCAGACAGCTCAGAGTATTGGGAAAAGTAGCGGCCTGGCCTCTTTGGTAACTGTATCAAATGAACTTTATGAAAGAAAAGATTTTTTTAAAAACGTGAACTAATATAGCGCTGATGTAAATGACTCATCAAATACGATCGAATACTGGATATAACTGATTCTGCATCAAACAAGAAATTTTCTTGGAACTTAGACTTTAATGGAGACAGCATCTGCACCACATAAGACTATCACCGCTCTGACAAACTGTGTCAAGACAGTCCAGAAGCAAAAATGTGGATGAAGGGTATTAGTTCACACGATAGCCAAACTCAATGAAGATTTCCTGGTGGAGGCTGCTGCAAGGAAAGTAATCTTGACTTTTTGAAAAACACGTACGTACACGTACTTGATTGCTTGACCAAAAAAAGGTACGAATGTGGGCCATTTTCTTTCACCCAAAAATTCTGTCAATGCAAGTCAAACATCTGTGGAGCTAAAAGGAATATCTGCAACATTTTTGCTGAGTCCTTCTCCGGTGATGTCATACTGAATACTTGAAATACCTGAGAGACCATGGATGTAAATTAAATTAACATGTCAGGAGAATAAAACATCCAATATGAGTCAGGAGGGAAAGTAAACCTGGCTAAACTAATTAAATGTTTAAAGTGAAAGTGTTAGTTTTTGGATTGGTTAATAGTGCCCCCACCCCACTCTTCCCCCATTCCCCAGCTGTGACACTCAAAAGTCCCCAATATGTAGCTAAAATAACCTCCGAACAAACAAAAGAAAACAACTGCCTTTAAATATACATTCAGGAATATGAAAGGAGGATCGTGTCAAATGAAGCATTAGTAATAACTGTGTTCTTGTGCACAGGAAGTTGGAGAGATTGGATTTCGTTTAGTTCTCAGACATCAGAGTTGCATCACTGACGGTGATCAGTAAGACCATTTGTTCCTGACATCCTTTCACAGGCACTGCTGCATAATGCTGTTTAACACGGGTGTGGAATGTTGAGCAAGGTCCTGCAGTCATGTCATCCAGGTCTTTGCTGTTATTTAAACTTGTTCTTTTTCCATGTTCAATTTTTATTGGTAAAATTTGTACTTTATAGTTTCTCGGTAATTCGACAGTAAATAAATACCTAGGATTATGTTTATGGAGCTGTAATTGCTGTTATAACCAATGTTATCCTTCCAACATGTCAATATTAAGATATTGCATACTTGATCACCTTTATGAAAGCATGTGGAACGTGCTCAGAAGATTTTTTTTAAGCGCTGTCGTGGGAATCTCACACTCTTGGGTCCTCTGCAGGAGCTGGAGGGCCATCTGGTCCCCACAGGCCAGCACCGCATCCTCCTCCAGTCAGGCCAGCTCGGATCTGGCACTCCACTCCTACTCTCCACACGTGTGTGCGTGTGTGGTCCAGATTGGATGACGACAATGATGACACAGTCATTCCTGTGGGTGGCTTGTTTTTTCCAAGGTCACAGCACTCCCACCCCACCCATGGACAGATCTGAGGGAGATGCTGAGTGGGCTCGGAGTGCGATAGTCATTTGCTGTAATAGAAGGTGATGCGTTACCTCGCTGCAGTGCCGCATGGGACAGTCGAGGGCACGGCCTTGAAACACTCCTTTTGGAGGAGGATAAAGGTAGTAAATAACAGTTTTATTTATTAACCCAGCCCTTAGGAAAAAAAATAAAAGTGCTGCCTTCCAAAGAGGCCTGAATGTAACCAGTTTGTGTCAATGAAAGGCAAAAGGAGAGATAGTTTTTGCTAAATATCCGTGTTTATTACTTCAACATTATACATTAAACTATATATTTATTAGTTAAATTTTTTTTTAAAACATTGTTCACAATCCATCTAATAATCATGCGAGCCCTCTACACACCAACACAGATAAGCTTTCAGAAAGTGTTGATTTCAGTTATTTTTGAACACGTCTACAAAGGTGCCAAACACTTCCGTCACCTTCTTAAACGTGCCAAACTGCTGGTTTTCTCAGTCTTGCCCCCCTCTCTTTTACAATCATGCAGAGGGATCTGATAACACAAAGGACACGCGAGGGTTGACCGTCCTGTCGGTGCACCGCTTCATCTGTGCAGCTGTGATACCCATCTGAGCTGGCAGACTTTCCACAAAGGGGACTGTAATTTACTGCTTTAGGGTTTCGGCTGCCTGAAGTATGATTTATCTGCAGCAAATGAGAGCTTCAGCATAAGATGGATGAGAAGGACACACTATAGGCTGCCTCTGTGTTGCTCAGTGATCCATAGACCGGCTCCCTTTACAGTCAGGATATGATAAATGATGTTTGGTTTTGCCCTCCAGGCTGGATTACTTGCATTTCTTACATGGGGGAGTTATTTGAATATATGCAACGCCTGTAGGACCTCCGCTCCATGGGCCTGATAACTACACCTCTCCACTGTGCTACATTTACCAGTCAGAGGCTTTTGCAAACACAAGGCGCTCCTACTTTACAACCTACCTACATGTGTCTACAGCAAGTAGCCGGCGTAGAATTTATTGTGTAATGTCAGCACAGATGCTAGTGGGCAGAACTGTGGCCCAGGAAGAACATAACTCTATCATAGCACACGATCCAGCGTGAACTCATAAATATTTCATGGGGAGTCTTCTTGGAAGGTCAAAGCAGAATTCAATCTTCAAGTCAGACAGCCGACTGAATGAGTGGCTCGCTCTCATCTCAGGACGTGTGGAGAGGGTGGTGGGGTGGGGTGGGGGTTAATCGACCCAGGCTGCAAGCCAATCAAAGCTCATTACCCATTCTGGGTCACACCCCAATCACGAGACCCCTGACGGCTCATGGTGATGTGTTACAGAGCAGAGCCAGATGCTGCTGGGCAGCTGAGGGAGGATTTCAAAGGTTAACTCGCAAGGCATGACCGACACCCGCGAGGACACCGCTGCTCAACAGACAGTGGGTGGGGGTGGGTGGGGGGGTCCGGATCATGTGGTGTGACTGTATGTGGACACCACAGAGGTTCACCATTCAGAACCATTCATAGCATGATAGGCAGAATACAGGGAGAACACAGTGCACGTTTATGCCCTGCTTTTATATATGAGAGATGTTCATGTGCAGGAGAAGCACACACAGCATGATGGTATGCATTCTTATTAACAAAGAAGTCCGGGGAGAGCCATAAAGCCAGCTTGTGTGCATCAGAGCAGATGTACTGTAGGACACCTCTGTGGGCAGCAGCAGCCACGTCACTGCTCTCCTCATAGCAACAGTACTGTTGACCTACATGCTTCCTACATAGCCCTCTCCGCCCGAGGTGGCGGAAAACTGCAAATCTATAGCATACACACTTCCTCGTGCATCTTTAAAAAAAAGAAAGAAAAAAAATGCTTTTTTTTCTTTTTTAAACTCGCTAATTATATTACTACACATGCCAGCTTTCTCACCCATTCTCCAAAAATAATTCAAATCTCACACAATAAAAATTAAAAATACATTGACAAAAGTGCCCCCCTCCCCACAGTCATTGACTATTTTATTAGAAGAAGAAGAAAAAAAAACATGATACAGCAATTAAACTGCTTCAGCTTAGAAATCAACAGTAAGCAGGTGTCCTTGTTTAAATTACAGCTTCAAATACACCACGAGAGGCTAGCCTACATAGCTAGGTGTGCATTACCTGGAAAAACCGTCTAACAGCGCTGGGAGCTGGGCTTTTTTCCTCTCCCTCTCTCCTTCGGCTGGAGTGGAGGCACCAGCACTAGCAAGGCAGTAGCTTGCGCAGTCATCTCCATAGCGGGCAGTGTCTCAACCCAACCAACAGCACAAACTACTACCTCAGCCAGTACGTGGTAATAAGACGAAAACGAAGAAAGAAACAGTACAAAAATGCCGTAAAGGGACAGAAATGCCCCGCTTCGCCGACGAAAGCAACATTCCCACGCAGCCGAAGACGCTCCGTCCTCTCTCCCGCTTCGCTCTTCTTCTGTGCAGACTTGAAATAAGAGGGAAACCCCGCCCAAGCAGACTTACTCCCCCTTTCTCTCCTCCTCCTTTTTCCTCCGCGTGTTCAGTGCAAACCACAAAAAGGTCCTTTCCCCTCATATGACCCACTGCATAATCCCAAGCTAGGGCTCGAGGTCCCCCAGGAGCACGTTGAGAGACAGCAGTGGAGTCCACCTTTAATGTAATGGTGGTTTGGTTTGTAAATTCGTGGGTGACTGAAACTGTTTTAGTATTTTTGTGTCTAAGATGCCTCTGCAAGAAACTATAACCCCACCTGCTGTACAGAATACACACATCACGACTCTCAATGCTCAAAAAGAAAAAAATATTTAACATATCAATACAAATGCTTTAAATATAAGTAAAACAGGGGTGTTGTTTAGTGGGACTTCTGGCATCCCTTGCCTTGAACAATCCTCTTCAAATCTGGCTTGTATTCCGTTGTTGCCACTCGGAGCAATTCTTTCACGAGTGTCAGTCACAACAGATCGATGCTTTGATTTCACATGAGAACACAGACTCGCAGACATATGTTGACCCAAACATTGACAGTATCTTAAGCGCAGCCCGTTTGACATTGGGGTATTTTTCCATTGGCGCACTTTTCCAGAACTCAATGGTCCCTTCCCTTAAAGCAGGTTTCAATTGGTCCTCCTCTCAAAGATCGATCATCTCCAACTCAGCCGCAGCTTCATCTGTGACTAGCGGGACTTTCAAACAGCCGGTCTCTGCATTAAATGGGTCGATGAGGAACGTAATCTGTGGCCTTTTCAGTTGTAGATCATGGAACCGGGTCACAAAGCTTTCGTGCAAGTTTTCAATCAGCGTTGCATATCTGGCTCTTTGCTTACTCAGGGCAGCGCTGGAGACTTGCCCGCTGGCTTTTAGCAGTGGGAAAATGCGTTATATCTCCCTTTTGAATATGTGTCTTGAACAGCTTCAGTTTGTTGACAAACGCAAACACACTTTGCACCAGGTCAGGCAGCATTTTTACCTTACCCTGCAGGGTCAGGTTCAGTCTGTCCAAGTGACACAGCATGTCGACCAAAAAGGCCAGATCCATAATCCACTTGAGGTCCGAGAGCTCGGGATAGTCCTTGTCCTTCTCTTCCGTAAACAGTTTCACGGCATCCAAAAGCTCAAAGAAGTGAGAGAGTACCTGGCCTTTTGACAGCCACCTCACAGTGCAGTGCAGCGGCAGGTCACCTGGAAGCCCTTGGTCCAGCTCAGCGATGAGATTCTTGAATTGCCTGTGGTTAAGCGCATGTGTGCGGATATAGTTGACGATTTCCATCACAGGCTTCATGACGTTATCTAAATTCAATGATTTAGACACCAGTTGCTCCATGTGGATGATCCAAAAGTCAGGAATAGTTTGGTCAGCTTTGCACAGCCCCACAAGCCCGTTCACAGATCCCATCATGGGTGGTGCTCCATCCGTGGCTATTGCAGTTAATTTCGTTATGGGCAGATTTGCTTTTTCTAATGCAGCCACCATGGTTTCTTTCACATCTATGCCACGGCTTTTAATGGTACAATATCCAGGAGTTCTTCTTTGATCACACAATCGTTTGACACAGACCGTGCAAATATTGCCAACTGAGGCTTGTCTTGTATATCACAACTCTCATCCAATGCGACACTAAAATACTCACATGCTTGAAGGTCAGAGTGCAACTGTGATTCAATAGCCGTGTTAATGTCCGATATTCTGTGTTCAACAGTGTGGCGGGACAGTTGGACGTCTGATACCATGCGTTTTAATTTGTCGTTTTCAGGAGACAAGATTTCAACAACGTCACTGAGGCATTGTGTGGCTTTTTAGCCCGTGCAGTGTTCCAAGCCAGCTGATAGGATGCGAGCGTCTCTGACCGCTTCGTAAATTTTTGGAAAAACTGTGTCTGCTTTTCTGCCTGACTTTTCAAAGCTCGTGCTTGCGAAGTTCAGTCCCTTTTGGAAATTCCTGGTCGATGTTAGCATGAAGTGAGCTGAAGTGGTGCTGATTTGAAGCATTGAAATGCGCTAATGACGTCTGACATATAAGGCAGAATGGCTTGCCATTGCGTTCAACAAAAAAATATAAACTCTCCCACTCTGTTAAAAACGTCCCGTGTTCATCTTCATATTTTTCTTTTTGCTGTGCATTTTTTCCTGCCATTTTAAGGGCGAACTTGCTCCTACTGGGAAACTTTGCGGTATTTTCATCTCACACACATGCGCATTTGATGAAAATACTGGATTGAACTCAAACGAAGCGAACGCGCACATTTTAAAACAACAACACAAAAACCCCCAAAACACAAACACAAACTTTGATATGAACGTGAGAGCCGCATGAAACCAGGCAAAGAGCCACATGCGGATTGAGAGCCGCGGGTTGGCCACCCCTGCTGTAAAAGATGCTATAATGGGATGGTGTAAAGAATTATCAGTGTTAAAAAAAAGGTTAATAATAGATACTTAGACACCTACGTATTTTGTATACCTATGTATACAAAAATCAAATAATGTTTTGACCATACTGCAATGTGAAAGTCAAACTGCTCATTATTTTTCTCCTAATTCTGTCTCTAATATGTCAGGCGATAGAGAAAAATACCGCAGGGTCTCATTTTCAAATGTGAGCTTCTCCTGAAACCAGTAATTTACTTAGTTAAACAAGCTTGTTCCCTACATGCCAGGCTGTTATTTGGCTATTATCAGATGAGTTCTATATACGTATAAGATCGCCACAGACTGTATATAAAAGATCGATATAGTCACAGGTCTGAAAACTGTGGCTTATGGATTCTAATAGCCAGCAGGAGGCAACTCTACATTTAAAAGAAACCCAAATGCTTCTCTTTTATTTTCTCAACTTGATTTATGAGTTATGAGTAAAGATTTATCTTGTTATTCTATGATATTCATTGCTAGCTTCACACAATTTATGCAAATTATGTTCCAATTTAAAACACTGTGAGACGAGCACCGATGCAGGTCAAAGAGGTGTCGATGTAACTGGCAGGTCACCACCTCATAAGCGCGCAGCATCACTGGTTTCAGTCAGATCCACGTCTCACCTGCGGTGTCTCATTTCAAAAAAGTTCCAAATCTGACTTTCCAAATTACAGTGGCTGTCTTGTTTTATATACAGTCTTTGATAGAAGGCTACAAGACAACACAGAAGGCCTTTAGACATCAACACCATCCACCTACAGGCCAAAGGTCTCAAACCAGGATGACTCAGAAATATAATTGTGTACAAAGTGGTATATCTGGGCTTCTAGGAAGCTGCATTTTCATTACATGCACTTTAATCGAGCACACTCAAGAGCTGTTTGTAGAATTGTCCCATTTATTTTACACAGACACATACATCCCTTCTCCGATGGCTGGTTAAAGATGACATGGAATGTTACAGTAAGATTTGTTTTCTTGCATAAAATCCTCACTGTTGAAAATGTTGCAAAAGATTAAATGTTCATTTCTTTTTAAGATCAGTAAAGCCCCAGTTTTTTGTTGGTTTTTTTGCATTTTTCTCTTTATAACATCATCAACACTTTCACCACACACTGTACACTGATGCAGTCTCTTCAGGAGAACAAAAACTAAACCCAGAGGCAACACTGCCGTTGTTTTTTTAATTCTCTGTAGTTAACAGGCAAGTGCAGCCAGTCTATATGAGTGTGAAAGCGGGGGGGTTGGCCCATTATCAGCTCACACGAAAAGCATATGAAAATGTGCATGAAGGTCGGGGTCAATGGTATAGTCTGAGGCAGCCTCGATATCGCTATTCACCGTGGGTTGCTTCATGTCACCGCAGAGTTCACATCCGTGCACTTGTGAAGTGCATGAGTCAAGTCGAGAAGACACCTTCGGGATTTCTTCATTTAGAAAGAAGACCAAAAAAAACTAAAAAAAATGCCGGGTTGCGAGCGAGCCTGGTCAGGACTCTCCGTTCTGGACTTTGGAGACGGGTGGCTGCATAAAGTCTTTAAAGGGCCCCAGGGCCTCCTTCAGGGCTGAGCTCACCTCAGACGATGAGCACGTAATGCACTCGACCAGTGTGGGGTACAGGGCGATCACCTGAGCCCACGTGTTGCCATCCACTGCAGGAAGTAAATGAGAGAATATCAGAAAAGGAGGGAAGAAGGAAGCGAATATGAGTTGTGAATAGAAAACAATCAATTTATTCAGAGCAAAACTGTGTTTCCCTGTGCCTGTAGGAATTTTATCGAGCAAAGGGCGATGCAATGCAAATATGCGGAAGGGCACTTCAAAAACACTATTTCACCATGTCTTACCTTCAATCTTCTGCAGTTATAGGAAATTGTTTTTTTTTTTTTCTAACTGACCTTGCCAGAAACACAAGCAATGATACAAAGAATGGGCAGAAAATGCCTCCTTTATTATCTTTCCAAGACTTATTTATCCATTTTTATAGTTTGATACTCACCATTCTCTGGCTGTGTTTTTTTCAGGGAGTCCATCAAAGTGCTGATAGCTTTCAAGACAAAGATAATCTCTGTCACTTGTTGCCTAAAATGAAAAACAGCAAAGGCCTTGCTTAGCTACAAAGGCACGGCAGTAGGAGAAAAGTGGAAGAGGCAAACAGCGAGGGGGAGAGCCAATAACAATCATGTATATACATAACACTATTTATTACATATCTACTTTTTACACTGGTTTGTATATTTGTACATTTTATATATTTTTTCTCTGTTAATACTGTTCATATGTATATAGAGCTGCAGAACTGTGATTGTTGGTGCTAAACGGGCTGGTCTGAGTATTACAGAAGGTGCTGATCTGCTGGGACTTTCTCATGAAACCACTTGTAGAGTTTACAGAGAACAGTCTGAAAAGAGAAAACATCCAATGAGCGACAGTTCTCTGGGTGAAAATGCAAAGGGTGAGAGGAGAATGGCTACACTGCTTAAACCTGGTAAGAAAGAACCAGGAACTCTTAAAACAAAAATATTTTTAATGTTAAAATATAATTATTGTTGTTCTCCATGAATCTTCAAACTTCAGTTTTACAGCAAAAGCAGAAAAAAATGGTAAAGTACATCATTATTTTTGATTAAGATGTCATATTACAGTTATTTACTTAGTGGCTGAATGTTACGCTTGATTAATTTCTGACTTTTCAAAGTTGTCCAGTGTGCCGGCTCAAAATTGAAAAAAATGAATTCAGGACAGATTTCTGAGATATTTGTGTTTTGCTGTTTTGATAGATGCTCTAATAGATTTGTTAAGCTCTGCATGTACTGTTTTATTTCAGGCCCTTTTATTTAACCAACTTTGTATTTATACAGAAGACATAAGAATAGATTTTACTTCTCCCCTCTCTCCCTTTATTTTCTCTGCTTGTGGTGCAGTTTATCCATGGGCATCTTTAACTTCCACTGAGTCTTGGAGAAATGTGGTAGAAGTATGGCGGTTTTACATTGTTTAAAAAGAGAAATAAGAGATAAATGAAGCCAGAGCTGGTCTTGATTTTGCATTTGCTAAATCTCCCAGTGGTTAAAGTGTAGCATTACAGTCATCAGAATTAATGGCCTCTTGGAAAATGTGTAAAACAACACGCGCTAAAAAAAGCACACACAAATAGATACCCATGGTGGCTGGGTACCTTGGTAATGGGCAGCGTCCACTCAACCTCTCATCCTCTACGTATCGTCGGAGAACATCCTGGGACCTCTTGAGGAGCACGGAGAGCGCCATACGAGAGATGTAACCCTCCTGCGGGGTGGAAACCTTGTTGCTGAAGGAAAACTGCAGCAGTGTCTCAAAACACACTTTGGAAAACTCCTCTCTCATCCGCACATCTATCTCTGCCTCTGTTGGAAGAATTATTTTCGATTGACAGTGAGAGGGACTGACAGGGTTTGGCTGTACGGCTCAACACATGCACAGTTGTTACTGATAAGCCGCAAGAAAGACTCCGGCAACAAACCAAGCACCTAAATTAAGATTCCAACACTTGGCCAGCATGCTGTTGCGCTAGTTTCAGGAATACACAACTGCTAAAGCCAAAGCAACTTAGCTGCCAGAGTCACATATTACCTGTGAATGAGGGAGACTGTGAGTGAATGGATCCTTTATTCAGCATGGCCATAATCTGGCCAACAAAGTCTTTGGGGATGAAATTGGCAAATGGTAAGATTTCTGTGCTGATCAGCTGGACCACCTAAAATGAAGAGGGAACGATGATGCAAACTTGGGAAAAACTTGCAAACTATTTGGGGATATATTATCAGAGTCTAGAAACAAGCACGTACCTCTACATCGATGGCTTCATTCTTCTGAAATTCCTGGATAGACAGGTTATCTGGAGGAGTACTGTAACAGAACAACAGTTTTCTGCTTAGAACCTCTGAAAGCTGCACAATAAGCATGGGGGTGGGGGGAATCTCTACCTTTTGGTGAAAAGAAAGTCTTCAAAGGCATTGGCCAACTCTGGCCACATAGTGTCAAACTTCCCGGATGAGGCATGCTGCCGTGCCACTGGTAGTCCAATGGACAGCACCTTGAGCAGAGACGACACAGCGAGCTTCCAGGTGCTCTCTGACGGACAGGCGTACTTCAGACTCAAGGGCATTCTTAAAGTCTTGAAGGCAAAAAACAAAACAAAAAAGCTCATGAGATTGAAACACAAAGGAACACTTAAAATTAATCTCGACAGCGGTGCACGAAAAACTTTCACCCCTCTTCCTTTTAGACAAAAGACAGAGTTAATATAAGTGGAGAATGTAAAGACGCCTCATCAACCTCGTGAGAAAGTCAGCCACCGACATTTTAACAAAGTCATCTTTTTTCCAAGAGCAGCTTGGCGCTCCCTACAATGACATTTCACAAATACCAGTGCCTTGCTTCTTGAGCATCTCTCTGATAAACTGACTCATTTCAGTTTTGGGTTTCTAAAAATTCACTGAGAAGAAAAGAGCAGTTAAACACAGGTGTCAGAAGTAGGGGGAAAAGGAAGAGTGGCAGGTTTTGGATCGCTTACACTGACAGTATCCTTTAGTGTTTGATGGACTGAATTTGGAAAAAAGTTTTGAAAATACTGGGAACACTTTGCATCTGCCCGCTGATGTACAGTATGAACCCAATATTACGATCAATACAGTGAGGTCAAAGGGCAATCAAGTAAAATCTGCCCAGGGGCTGGAGGTCTCTCAGAATTAAACGATTGCAAAACTGAAGAGGCGTATCGCATACTACTAAAGTTCTGTTCCTCCACCCATTTTTGTAAACTGAATTTTCCAAATTTTCACACCAAACTTTTTTTTAAATGTTTGCCAGTTTAAAATCCTAAAAAGGTTGAGCAGGTCTGTAGGTCTAATAAAGAACGTTGTTTCAGACGCAAACAGCCAGTTTATTCATTATTCTTTTAAAAGCAACAATTGCAGCAGCCTTAAGGAATATTCACACAGCAGTGCTTTACGTAGCTAAACAAATACATTATACTGCAACTGTTCTATTGAAATTTAAAGTGAATGTCCTCATGTGTGGATCTAATTCTTCTCAGAAACAAAAATCAGGTTAAAAAAATAAAATAAAATAAAATAAAAATCTGGTAATTCTTTGTTTTTACATTCATCGGGTCCCAATCAGCCCAAATAGCAAAGAGAAATTTAAAATGCATGCCATGAAAGAGTTCGGGTCTTAGGAGGTTAAAATGAAAGAAGCATTCTCGTGATATTCCACACTGGATGAATACGCAGGGTTCAAACATAATTGGGTGGTCAGCAGAAAGCAGCTCAACAGTAAATTTCGCTGCACTAAACAGGAACAGTGATAAAACACATCAAACATTTTCTCTTTCTCACCATCACCAACAGCGAGTACACCACCCAGGGATAAATACCTTAATGATATTCTGCAGAACTTTTTCATTGATGACAGCTTTGTGGCAGGCTGTTTTATGGTACAGGTCCACCACCACCTCCAAGGAGCGCTCAGCAAAGGGCACATAGTTTAAGGCAACCCATTCTGCCTGTAGGGGTAAAGAAGATTTAACAAAAGAAAACCAAACCAAACAGCAATGGGCATTATGCTCACCTTTTGGCGACAGTGAAAGCATTTGTTTAAAAAAAAAAAAAAAAAAAAAAAAAGACACACTTTGCATAAGTACGCAAGTAACACGCCATTTTATTTTTAAACTGCAGTCGCTATTAGTCGGCTTCAAGCTTTGTTAGGTTTACAGTACCACAACTGAAACGTTACAGCCAAACTAAAGATTTTATTCTACAAAGTGTGTCTTTAGGAAATAGAAAACAGAGCCACAAGTATGCATATGAACAAAAAAACAAAACAAAATAAAACCATCAAAAGTCACAAAATCAACTGAAAATGAACTCCACAGAGGGAGGTGGGGCTGTGCACACAGAGGCAAAACCACCAGTTAGTGACAGGCAGAGAAAGAGGGGAGCATGGAGTGAGTGAGAGACGCAGATGAGACGCGAGAGCCTACCATGCGGAGTGATATCTCATCTACCGCAGAGGGTAGGTCATCACCATTCAGCACAGCTTAGTACAATTACAGAGAGGGGGAGTGGGGGTGAGAGAGATGATGACACTCACCGGCGCAAACAGCTGGATCTAAAATGGTTATCCAGTGAGTAGTTCGAAGAAACAGAATGAGACAAGATTGAAATTAAACCGATGTTTTATAGTTGTATCAAATCTAAAGTGCGTCTCTCAGCTAAACGAGATCCCAAAATCTGGGCCGAGGGAAAAGAGGGGAAAACAAAACAACCTCCCAGCAGCACTGAGGACATTTGACGCAATCTGACATCAGGACTGAATAAAAGCCAAGAAGGCAATAAAAAGACCACCCATAATGGTGTTTGGCTGGGTGAGAATTTTGTTTGACCATCTAACTTAAACAATTTAAACAGACTCAGATCAACACAAATGTCCAGTTTACTGTACCTCCAATGCAGGACGGACACACGGCCAAGATTTAAAACAGACAGGGTCAGGATTTAGACCGACTCCATCAGTCGTTCAGTATTTGATCGAGACACCTTTCAGGATTTCTGTGCAGGAATAACATCTGCTTGAGCTACGTGTTTCCAGAACTTCCAGGTTTCCAGAACAGCAAGGATTAAGACGACTCTGACGTCAGACTCATTTAAAAATACTCCGTTTTTGTGACTTCAATAGTCTTGCTCAACATTACTGGGTGCCTTGGAAACACTTAGTTTTTTCCTTTTTTAAATGACTATGAACTGTGCTGGACTGAAGCATTTCTCTGGCAACCGCCCAGCAAGATGAATCATGAGGAAAGGAATTTGAGGAAGGAATGGTTTGGGGCTTCTAATGGGGGTCGAGAACAATCTGTCAATCTCATGAAGAGCCGTGACAGAAGCTTCATAAGGACAAGACGGCAGAGGGAGTGGAAGGGGGACTTCACGAGCATCAAAGAACAGATATGATCTTATTGAGAATGGCTGAAGAGAGGTGGGTGAATAACAATGTGCGTCATCCAACAGTCTAATGAAACAAACTGTAAAAGCAAATAAACTGCAACGAAAACCAAATATTTAGGTGTCCGTTTTTCATTTCCTACCTGGTTGTATTTGGCATTGGCCACGTGTTTGGTTTCCATCCTGCCGTACTGAGGCGGCTTGCAGGAGAACTCCACAAAAAGGAGCAGCTGCTCGAAGATGGCCGGGTACATGACCTGCAGGTTCTCCGTGCCCACACAGATGGCCTGCAGCAGGGAGGGAAGGGAGGAACAAACACTGCTGACTTCCACCACAGGACTGCATATTGCACAATTTAGCAGACTGACACTTTCTTTTCTTTCCTGGGCTGAATAGAAACGAACTGGGAGGAATTAACTTTAAACTGAAAGGGCCTATGTTTGGTAAGCATGCTGAAAAAGCTAGAGTAATTAATAAGGAAAGAACGAGATGCAACATGGGACCTCCTGCTGGATTTGAACAGATGATGATTACACACATGACCCCGCTCTTATCTTGATGCTACACTGTAGCACAAACCACCTCACATCAAACTGCTAAAAGCTTCACCGGTGGCAATAATCCTTCTCCCACCTTCTGCAAAACATCCAGAGCGGTGAGCACGGCTTCCTGCAGGTTGGTGAGCACTGCCTCAGTGTATGAGGGGAGGATGAAGGGTGAGGCATCGCTGCTGATAGGCACGGAAACAGCCCCATGAAGGATGACCCCTAGCTTTTTTAGATCCTCCATACTGAAGTTGGCTTTGATGTGCTGGTAGAGTGCTGGAAAAATCTGGATTAATGCTGTGAGGAAGGGCTGACTGGGGATAAAAGAGAGCTTCTCTGTTGGGCCAGTAGGTGGTCTCGTGCTGTCCGTTCCCATTCGATACCACGTGTTCCATGCAGACCACCACAGTGCCGAGTCCTCCAAGGCCGACTCCTCCCCTGGCGGGGGCGCCTGCAGCTCAGCTCCGTTGTACCGTGTCAACCGTTCCAGTAGTGAATCTGAACGCACCAGGGGTCTTCCAGGACCGGATGCTGACAGCGGGTCAATGAGCACTGGAGGGACGCCCATTGCAGCAAGTGCGTCTCCTGCTTTGTCCGAGTCTTTAACAGGTGTAACGATCTGAAGGATTTCCTGAAAGCTCTTCAGGGCAGCCAGGGAGACCTCATTGTTTTTGCTGAGGGCAGCTGACTGAATATGGTTCAACAGCACCTCCCAGGCCTCAAAAAAATCACCTGCAGATACACAGCAGAAGATGGCAGCGTGGAAACATTAGCGCTCTGATATTTGACACCATTTTCAAAGATGTCCTGCATTAATGGCTCAGAACATATTGACAGGTGTTGAAGCAGAAATGCACCAACTGCAATCTGCTGAATGTCACAGAGCATCACGTGCGGGCTCACCTAGCTGCTGAAGGAGATACCGCCTTGTGTTGAAAATGCGCGCCACGCCCGCTAGCGTCAGCACCCACGTCTCTGCCCACTGTTTCTCGGCTGTGTCGCGCGAGTGATGGATAAGGATGTTCCCACCGCCTGACTCGATCTTCTCCTTGTCTGCTGTGGTGGAAGACGTTCTTACACAGTCGAGCAGCTGGAACAGGACCTGGAGGCGACGAGTGACAAAACAAGCACGTACTGTCAAATTTGACATTTTTTCGTGTTTTTCTTTTTCCATCTTATATGGAGACGTTTCAGGGATTGTACCTTCCACACCACAATGTGCCACGTTGGCTGCTGGAGCAGGGTTCCGTGGGCAGCAATAGTGGAGAACAACGTCTGGCCGGCGCTCTTACGCACAGCAGGCCGCGGGTCCACGCACAGCTCCCCAAGCTTGGCATACAGACACAGCCACAGGCAGTCAAAGGGAGGGGCGGGGTGGAACGGCCTGTTGAGGGTCTCTCCTTTCTCCTGGGCCTGTTTCTGCAGCGCTTCCTCCTCCCTCTCTAGCTCCTGCGTGATGGCTTCTCCCCTTTGGAAGAAGTAGTCTGAAATATTCCACTGTGGATAAGAAGAAGAAGAAAACCAAAAAACGAAGTGGGGGTATAAATTAGAGAGAGAAAGCAGTAAGATGCTTCTGATAGTTTTGCTATCCATTACCATAAAGTAACCTCACAGGAACTGGCACACTCCAAGAGAAATAATCTGGCAAACCACAGATCAATAACAGGTTTTGTATGTCCTGAATCCTGCATAAAGTGTCTACCTAATGTTATTAGAAGACTGTTGAGTTAGAAGAAAATAATACGACAAAAAAATAAATAAATAAAAAGGTGGGGAACTGCAATTGTTTGATCATATATTAAAAACACCGGGTTTCTATTTGAAAACTAGTGTTTGAAAAGTAAAGCCGTGGGCCACCTGTCACTCCTTCGCAAGCAAGAGTCGTCCTCCTTCTCCTTCACAGTTACAATCGCACTTGCTAATTCACCAGTTACATCACATTACTCTGCTAGTTGACTCTCAAAAAACTTACTTGATTGTTTAATTACAGGTACCATCTGACAGCAAAGCATGAAAAAAAAAGTCTGACTGATAATCCTTTATAATAACTACCACAGCTGTACACATCTGTCATCGTACCAGTAAGCCGATGGACGTGAGGCTGATGTTGAGCTCCTGGTTCTGAAGGCCAAAGCTGCCAGCTACATCCACTACAATCTGGAGGCACGTGCAAGGCATGGTGGGAAGGAAGTCTGTCACCACCAACTGCAGGCACTGGAAGGCGGTTCGGATCAATGACTCACTGATGAAGGAACAAGACATGCGGCATGCATTAGTTTCATTAACTATGTGCAGTGGACATAAAATCACTTTCAAATTATTTTTTAATGATTTCTTTTCACACAGGCAGCTCACTCTCTGGGCATCATTTACTTTTCCGGGAATAGCATTGCATAATAGTATTATTTCTTTGCATAGATTTTTTTTTTTAATATACATACAGACAGACACCCACCCACCTCTTTGGTGGAGACAAAAATCGCCCCCTCTATTACGCTCTTACCCTTGATCATTGCGAATGGCTCCTATAACACCCAAAACGAGGGGCCAACCAGGCCCCAGGCTGTCGCCCTGACTCTGCAGGATCTGCAGGACACACTCGAGCTGTTTCTGCCGGATGTCTGCGTGCAGCACGTTGGACAACTCCTTCAGGGGGTTCAGCAATAGAAGCTGCAGCCGCTTAGGGATCAAGAAAAGGGAGACGGTGATCAACTTACCTGTCAAGTTTTCTATTCATAAATTTGTATTTTAAATTTTAAAAGAGTAGAATGTGGCACCTTTATTAAAGCTACGTATAACATTCACATTGGAAGGGTAAACAGGTGAAGTACAAACTGTTTAAAGAAAAATGTGTTTGGACATTTTTTCCTAATTGGCATTAAACTTTTTAACTCTGCATGTTTGAAAATGAAAGGATAAAGGCTTACTGAATTTTCAAACGCAGTGGTTTGATGATGAGTCATTATGCTTAGTAATTTGTTTGGCAATGACAACATGAAGTAGTAAAAGCTTGTCCACATGCAAGGAAATGCTTTAAAAATATTGTTTCATTGGCTGTCATTTTTATTATTCATATAACCTCCACACACCCTGTTTTAGATAAGGCTTGTTATCAGTCTCACCAAGGTTAAGGTCACAGTTTGTGTTTATTAATGACAAGATAAAGTGACTTTTCTATCTTTCTGTCGTGGCTTACAGGATGAACATCAGCATCATATACAGGCAAGTATTGTGTTATTCATACACATTGTGCAGTATGCCGATCAGCCATAACATTATGACCATCTGCCCAAATATTGTGTTGGTCCCAAAGGTGTGCTTTGGTATCTGGCACCAAGATGTCAGCAGCATATCCTTTAAGTCCTGATTGGACTTGTTTGTCTAGGACATCCAACAAATACTCGATTTGACTGAGATCGACAGAATTTGGAGGTCAAGTAAACACCTGAAACATGTTCTTTTCAAACCATTCCTGAACCTTTTTTACTTTGTGGCAGGGCACATTATCCTCCTGAAAGAGGCTACAGCTATCAGGGAATACTGTTTCCTATGAAAGGATGTGTGTGGTCTGCAAGATTCTTTGGTAGGTGTCAAAGTAACATCCACATGGATGGCAGGACCAAAGGTTTCCCAACAGAACATTGCCCAAAGCATCGCACTGCCTCCGCAGGCTTGCCTTCTTCCATGGTGCCAGGAGTTCCCCAGGTAGGCGACGCTCACACGCCCAGCCATCCACGTGGTGTAAAAGAAAACAGGATTCATCAGACCGGGCCACCTTCTTCCACTGCTCCATGGGCCAGTGCCGATGCTCATGTGTCCATTGTTGGTGCTTTCAGTGGTGGATGGGGTCAGCATGGGCACCCAGACTGGTCTGCAGCTATGCAACCCCAGAAACAACAAACTGTGATGCTCTGTGTATTCTGGCACCTTTGTACCAGAACCAGCATTAACTTTTTTTGATCAATTTGAGCTACAGAGGCTCGTCTGTCAGCTCTGACCTAACGGGCCAGCCTTCACTCAGTGAGTCTTGGCCGCCTGAGACCCTGGTGCTGGTTCACAACATTTCCTTCATTGGAACACTTTTGATAGATACTGACCACAACAGACTAGGAACAGCCCACAGGAGCTCCATTTTTGCAGATGGTCTGACCCAGTCATCTAGCCACCAGAGGTTGACCCTTTTGAAACTCACTCACATTCTCACGCTTGCCCATTTTTCCTTCTTCTAATGCGTCAACTTTGAGGACAAAATGTTCATTTGCTCCTTGATACATCCCACCCACTAACAGGTGCCACGCTGAAAAGATAATCAGCATTATTCACTTCCTATCAATGGTTGTAATCTTATGTCTGATAAGCGCATGTTTGCTTTCGTCTTTGTTTTTTCTTCTTCTAAATAACCCATCGTGTCGTTGCCTACCTGATTTTGGGCCAGTGGAGGATCGTGTTTGTAGGCAAGTCCAGCTTTAATAAGTGCTGTCAGTGCCTCGGCTCCCCATTCTCTCATTCTGGAGTTTGGATGCTGGCAGACCTGCAGGACACAGCATTTACGGACAAATGCAGACACAAACAGGCGCAATGACAGATCTGATGCACAGGGAGTTCAGAACAGCGTTTCCCAGCAGTTTTCACAGTGGGTGGGTGTGAAACAAGTCGGTGAAATAAACCACAGACTGTGTGATAGAGACTGGGATCCCCCTGTGGCAACAGATTATGCTGTGCTAGACAGTGTAATCATGAAAGCATAGATACACATGGAGAGACCAGGCTGAGCAAAGAAAAGTACACTATGTGGTACAAAACCTGAAGAATCTGAGAGAAAACATTTCCGTGTTTTCTGTGTTCCAAATCAGTCATCTTTGTTTATCTTTGTCAAACAAATGTTCTACTTTTATGGCATCAGACTTCTCGATTCTCGAGATTTACTGCTTCAAAACCCAGATGATCCATGTGCACCCTTTTGTATACTGTGCGGCGTTAAGTATCTACTTAACGCCGCACATTTTTCATTATCATCATTATCTGTATGAATAGTAGACAAAGTCGCAAAGAAAGATATTCAGCATTTTATTTAAGCACGTTTTTACCAGTTTGCAGCTTTGGATTTTACTTTGAGACAAATCAGGAATTCACACTGAAAAAGCTTTGCAAAATAATGTAGGATCAAACACTGATAACAGCACAAACACGTTGTGGACACACTGTGGCATAGCGACCTCTCAGCTCCAGCATGTTTATGTCTGATGGAGAGGGAGCAAAAAAAAAAAAAAAAACCAGATTGGAACCAAGAGGCAGAGAGGGAAGGAGAGATGGGAAAGTCAGTGTTTACTGAGGAGAGGATCTGAGCTTACCTTCTGCAAAACAAACGGGTGTGCAAAAGAAAAAGGAGATAGAGAAAATGTGACGAAAACCTCAAAACACAGATGTTTACAGATACATAGCAGGGATTTTCTGATGACAGCTGAAGAAATGACTAAAAAAAAAAAAAACCCAGTTTATCGCTCATATCAGTCCATATATTGCATTACTGCTTGTGAAATGATAGGTCAGCTTGCTGGTTGATATGACCTATGTTCTGCATTATTTACCACAACATACAGGTTTTACTCTGGGTATATAACACTAAAGAACAGTAAGCAGTATAGTGGAAATTTGGTGGTATTAAGACAAATATGTACTGGAAAAAACAAACCTAATACCACCAATCACTGCGATTAAATCCTGTATAGTTTATTTAACAAAAAAAATAATGAAGACATTTTTTGGTCTTAGCTACTACATGAACTCATGTCTACATAATTAATCTACATTTCCAAAGACAAAGACCTTACCTTGAGTACCGATTTAACAGGTACATTTATTTATTAAGCTAAAATGATGCGATATTTGATCAAAGAGGTACAGGAAAAATAGACTGTACCTCATTTAACATGAAATGTACGTGTAGGCTTCTGTTCTAAGTAGTCATTACCTCCAATAAGTGGCCTGTCAGTGGTCTCCACAGGATCTCTATGCGATCCATGTTGACCAAACCGGTTTCAAGCAGCTTGGCGACTGCAAACAGAGACGGCTCCTGAAAAAAAAAACATAATACAAAACAGAAGGTGTAAAAAACCCAAAATAAAACACTGGATATGTTTCACAGAAGCACATCCAAAGTTCCTTATAAGATTTGAATCAAACTCAAATCTCTTCCTAAACATCAGTCAACTAGAGAAACCGTTTACCTTGTTGTTTCCATAAGCCATTTCCATCGCTTCCAGGGAGAGGGAACAGAGAGCATTGATCAGGTGATGCAGGGACACATCATCCAGGTACCTAGATGACAGAAAAATACTTATTTCAGATAACATGTGCCTATTCTGCTTAGCATTAATAACTTAAAATTCTGATTTTACAACAGGCAACACTAGCCTATCTCTCTAAGAAAATACTGTGCTCCTTCCCAGTCATATTTATTAACAAATGTTTATTGTACATATCCATTTTAAGATCATCAGGTAAGTAAGTAAAGTATCTACATATGCTCAGGCACACTGATCCTTACTGAGAGCTCTCGAACAGTCTGGACAGGATGTTGGAGATAACAGGCAGGTCTGTCATCACTGCTGTGGTCAGCACCTGTTTAGGTTGGAGACACACGATTAGCATGTAAGCCCATCACCTTCAACAATGAGCTGGGAAACATAATGTGCAATACAAGTTCAATACAAAGGTTATAAAAAACACTGACCGTACTGGGGCCCTCCACTGCTCGACCAGGCTTCAAGGCACCACCCACGCCTGGCTTAAGCCCGAGGATCCACACTAAGTGCTGGGAGAAAAACAGAAGGTGAAGGAGAGTCGAAGAAAAGTTCATATCAGGTCTTGAAAAAGTACACCAACATGCTGAAAGACATGTATTTTTATGTAAATGTGCTAAGAATGATTCCACTTTCTCTCTGAGAGGTGCATAAAGCACAATGCAGACAGTGCAAGAACAGTTTTGTGCATTTATACATGAAATGGATTTGTATGTGACGTCTAATTACATGAGAGTGTGTACATATGTGCGTGGTTGCAAGTAAGTAAGCGTGTGGCTGTAGGTGGTTGTAGTACCTGGAGGGTAGCCAGTACCAGCTGCCAGGAGGTGCCCAGCACGGCTCCGTGGCAGTGAGCCAGGTTGAGCAGGGTTCGCATACACTGGATGTTTTTGGCAGTCAGCTAAAAGAGGGAGAGAGTAACGTTACAGTCAATTCTAAGGCACACTGTATATTACCAAGTGAGTCGCATCTATAGAACAAGTTATTATGACTTATGACAGTATTCCGTCTCACCACAGGCAATGAAAAGTGTGTTAACAAAAAGAAGGTGGTGGAAACGTAGTGTAAAAGCAAAGGAAATGAAAACAACATGCTAACATTACTATAGGGAAAACTTTAAACTCTGCATGATTATTCCAGGTCAGGATCGAGGTCACTGTGCAGGTACTTTCAAATCTTTTTGCCCTCAAGAAACATTTCAGCGCACAAGCATCCATGTCCCGCATCTATTAAGAACTATCGACCTGAACGAGGCCCTGACAAAGAAAAGCATCTTATTTCACATAGTCAATACTGTCGGAATATACTCTACTATGCACATTGATACTGGCGAGAAATATGGTTAAGCAGTATTACCTGTTTTGAAGCTGGGTTTTTTTGTTTTGTTTTGTTTACGGAGATTCTCAACATATTTATTTACCGAAACCTTCAAGTACCAACAAATTAAAACCATTTACTTTTACTTAACTCATAGTTCAGTGTTGGATGTATTCATTTCATTTTATTTCATTTATTTATTCATTTCAGGCACAACAAAATACATATATTGAACATAAAGTGCACAAAACTTTATTTTTTTAACTTGATTGTTTGGAGCCCGTTTGGACTCACCAAACTGCTGCTATTTGTTTATTTATTGTGGAAAAGTGGTTTTCCTGCCTTATCTGGATTTAACCTGCCCAACAGCAAGAGCTCCGCTGACATTGTCTCCATTATGGAAGATTATTGTTAATCTAACTTGTTTTGATAAAAAACACTTGTGAGCTTTGTTTTGGGAAAACTGCTACACAAATTAAAATGTGAAAATCTGTTACACTTATCGAGTATGTAACCACCAAGTCTTCCAAATGTGTGCGTCCTTACCACAACAGTGCCCTGGGGCTGGGCAGTTAGTGGCTGCCCCACAGCCACCACCTGCTGATGAGATTCACTGGAGGGGCTGATAATCTGCACGTTCTGGCCCTGGATTGAATAAGCTGTGGAGAAAACACACACACGCACCCACGCAAACATATTGATACACACGCGCACACGTACAGGAGTCAAGGTTTTTGAGGGGATTTTGTAGCAAGCTTACAACATGCAAGAAAAGCTCTCTTAATTAACTCCAAGACAAACATCCCATCGGTGAGTCAAGACCCAATTTGCCGGCTTTATCTCTACAAGCTGATATGCAAATAGTGAGAGTCTGAGCGGCCGGCTTGAGAGCAGCTGTGTGTGGACGCCTACGTTCCCCAGGCACATTCTCCTTGGTGTGTCTAATTAGAAGCCACAGTGAAAACTTATGGATTAATGCAACAAGAGCAGGAGAACAGGGACAGGCAGAGTGCCAACAGTTTACATGTTGGGCACATCTTACCCATGTGGGAGATTAGACCTGCTCATTAAACACATGTGACCAGAGGCCATCCCTCAGGGCTTTACATGGGGACTTTTAATGGTTTGCAGTATAAAACATGTATTTGCTCTTGCATTTCTTGGTGTGTACAAGTGAATAACTACATGCCTGACATACTTGTACAACAAAAATAGAGGTTATATGAAACTTGAGTCCCCTTGAAAATGTGTTTTGTATTTATCTTTAGATGCATTCTCAGTCACCCACCTTTGCTGGAGAGGGTGGCCGCGTTGCTGCTGAGGACAGTTAGGGCGTAGTGTGGGGGCAGAGAGGCCTTGCAGATGGCCGTTATAAAGGCATCACGAGGTGTCACCAGGCCGAGACGGCCACACAGCGAGGCCATGGTCAGCTCTGCTTTTAAGATGTTCTCAGTCGCTGTCTCATCAGTGCTGAACACGCAAGACGTGAGAAAAGGAAGAAAGAGGACAGAAAAGTGAAACATAACACACTGCAGATTGTATTCCTTATTGTCTAATTTAATATTTATATCCTAAGAAATGCTGCCAAGGCTATATCAGACCTTTATTCATTATTAGAACATGATAGGATATGTATAGATAAAGGCAAAATTATTAAACCCAGCAATGAAATTTGAATTTCTTTCGAAGTACTTTTATGACCAAGTGAAGAATTTTCAACATAGCACGTCTAAACAAATGAGTCTTCTTTAGAAACCATCAATTATTTCTGTTTGCACACAATAATAAAAATGAGCAGAGTTTGTGTTCTTAGCAGCTGAAAAGCTGACCTTGGCAATGATGTGTTTTAACTTTGTAATGCTCAAAACTTGTAAACTCAAGTTAAAACTGAGGGTTTTCTTCCAACTGACACTTGAGAAAGCATCATGTCAAAAACAAGAAATCTCTTTTGACTCCACAAAAAGAATTGCTAATGCTCACAAAGCAGGAGGTGGATATAGAAAGCTATCACAGCATCTCCAAGTGTCAAGAACTGTAGTGAGAAGTATCATTAAGAAATTCAAAGAGAGCCACAGAGCCTGACAGAGGCAGGAAGCTAAATATTTCAAAGGCTGGAAAGAAAACTAGTGACAAATGTGTCTAAAGTCACAACTGCTAGTGACTTAGTGAATCACTAGAATACTGCACAGGAATGGGCTGAGAGGTTGCAGACCAAGAAAAACACAGGAAGAACAGACACTGAAGTATGCTGAGGACAACCTGGACTGGAAGTGCGTCCTTTGATCAGGTGAGATAAAACTTGAGCTCTTTGGCCACAGAGACGCTGCTTATGTTTGGAGAAAGAAGGGAGAAACCTACAACCACAAGAACTCCATCCCCACAGTGAAACACATTGCTAGGAATATTATGTTGTGGGGACCAGCAAAAAATGATGTTGGCATCAGGGGGACTAATTCTGGGGTGCAACGATTTATCGAGTAATTCATATATTTGATTATTGAAAATTCTCAGCACGGATGCTTCTATACTTGGTTGAATGCACGGCTGTGTAGCGGGCTGTTGTGTTAAAAGATGTAAACCCACATTTGCGACTTAAAACAGACCCTGCACTACAAACATATTTAGGAGCAGCGTATGACAACCCTAAGTCCAGGCAGCCTCCAGTTTTTCAGCAAAAACGCTGATAACACAACAGAAGCAGTGATGGTGATGCTGGCAAAGTTTAATGTCAGAGCCAGAGTCTACAGCATTACACGCTGTGAACAGTAAATAGGCAGAGCCATTACTGAGACAGTGAACTCAGAGTAAAAGAAAACATGTTTCTAGCATCCAAAACAGCAGCACCAAAACATCTGATCACCATTAAAACCTTAACTGGGAAAAAGTGAGCGGGAGTCCTGCATCGAACCACCTGATCAACAAACTGAAGAGAAGCAAACTCTGTAGCTGCTCCATCCACCGCTGTTAGTTTTACACCGTGAAAGATTCGCACAGGTTGTATTAAAATATGCAGATGACTAGTTAACTTAGTCTGACACCAGATACCAGACTGGTTAAATTATACAGCTCGATGAAGGCTGAGGGCGCCGTCCTATTTAACATGGGAGCGACACCTGCAGCTAACGGAGAAGTGACCGCATTAGAGACCATGGTCACGCCATATTAATTTCAAGCTTCTGTATCGTTTTCCATTTTGTAAGTGAAATCATCTGAAATATTGTTTTAATTAAATTGCATGACTATTTAAAAATATAAAAACACAAGCCAATAAAAAAAATAAATAGGCCATTAAACTCTAAGCCACTGACCTGAGGGTTGTTATGTTGGACACAGAGCTATTATTAATATTAATTAATAACTACAACATGATAATGTCTGTTTCAGCAGCACAAAAACTCACCTCCTAGTTCTATGAACAAACACTTGAACGGGAAATTAAATGTGTATTCATCTGTTAAGCATACATCGTGCGTTTAAAGTAATCTTTAATGTGGTGCAATTTACAAATGACTAAAGCTTTAAAACGTTCCTGTCTGAATCACATGTCTGCTGACTCCAGAATCCGTACCTTGCATCCAGCAGCAGAGACAGTGCAGCCAGGAGACCGCACCAGCAGGCGTTGACCATCTCCTCCCACACCAGGTGAGCCCCTGAGACAAACAAAACATTACGGGGTTTATTCCTGAATGCTATCACATCAATCTGGACAGTCTCATGTTGGGGAAAAAGAAAAGAAATTGATCATCTCTAATTTTTTTCCCACTTCTTATTTGAAATTATAAAGAGGTTCGGCTATAATTGTGGTCACTAGAGTTTGTACGAGTGCTACCACCCAGAATCATGACAGGCTAGACCATTATACCCACCACTCCTGCTTCCCCATCTCCATATGTCTGCTTTCATATATTTTCAACTGATTAATATCCTTCTTGTCAGGGTGTATCATGAGAATAAAACGCTCCAAAGAACATTTTTTCCCTCTGTACATTCTCACCAGGTTGCGGCTTCCACTCCTGGTCAGGGTGAGCTTCTCTAAATTCAGCAGCTGCCTCCTCCTCCGCGGCCAGTTCTCTTTCAATCATGGTGGTGATGCCCCTCACCAGGTCGAGCAGAGCACTGAAGGCCACTGACATGGCGTAGCCCTCTGGGATGGATGGGGGCTCAACCTTGTCCAGCATCTCTAAGCTGGGAGAGAGATGGAGAAAGAGAAATGAGGTGAAGTACATGAACTGAAGTTTCTGTCTGGAAAATTGACATATAAGAGCTGCCTCCTTTTCCAAGACCATTAACATGTTAGGCAGCCATTTCTTTTCAGCAAATAACTTTTGATCTGCTGTATCATTAATGTCAGAAACAACATCTTGGGGGAAAAAATAAATTAAAAAAATGACAAGCTTGTCTATATTTATGCCACTTTGCAGCACAAAGCTAGTCGGTCCTGGAACTGTTTACTTTCTGCATCTGTGACTGGAATTACATCCTTATAAACACACAATAAATAAGGGGAGATTATTCAGTATGTACAAAAGAAATTCTTACTAGGTGGCCTTGGCGCTTCCCTGGACACTAACAGTCATAAGGGGGATCCAGGTACCACGGTATTCAAATGCAGCCTGGGTAGTCAGGGTGCCGCTGACCCCTCCTGTGCCTGGACCGCCTTGTGCTGTGCCTTGAGCACCTGAACCCGACCCACCTACAACAAAAGCCGGAGAGGAATGAGGTAAGGGGGTATAAGTGCAGTAAATCTGAATTTCAGGCCCATTTGAACACATCTCCTTGACATCAATAGAAATTCTAAATAAGGACAACTCAGTCAACTTACCAGCTGGCGCGCCGACAGCAGCCACGTTTCCCGCATTGGGAACGATGAAGAGGGACTGGATGAAGGATCCCAGGGCATTGACAATGTCTCTGAACACTTTAGTGGAGTGCTGCTTCATGTCATAAGACTGGCAGAACGAACTGAAACAGAGAAGAGCAGAGTGAGATCACAGCAGTGTGGGGTTGTATTAGAAAGAAAAAAAAAAGGACACTTCAGACTTTGCCAAGTTTCATTAGGCCAAACTGCACTCTGAGAAACAGTTAAACAACCTTAGTCACAAAAGGGCTTAATGAATGTAATTGTGCAGAATCAGCTATATTGTTTTAAACTAAAGTAGGAAAAAAACGCAAGTTTCCAGACCCTGTAACTAAAAATCTGTGTTGTTTTTTTAAAGCTGCTTACCGTAACAAATGAGGCTGCACACACAGTCTGTGGACTGATTCCACAGCCACTGCTCTGAGCCACTGAGGCTTCTCCCCATCCAGAAATTTCACCAACAGAGACAAGAAGATCTCACACTCAGTCACCTGCAAGCCAAGCACACACATATCAGACTGAAAGTGATGCAAAATCTCTGAATACCTTCTGGTTTTGTGGAAGTGGAACGGCTTTTTGATCAATTTGAGCAAAAAGAAGAAAAAAAAATTCCACCTCAAAAATTGAATAAATGCCACTAAATAAAAACAGCTGGAATGCTGAGTTACTCGATTGTAGTTAAGCTCATTAAAGTGCTTGGAGGAGAACTAAGACAAAACTACTGCTTGGGTAAGCCAATGCTAATCTGACTGGATCAATTAAGTGCATCAGCTCTGTGCTTAAGAAAATCCCTTAGACATAAAAAAAACAACCATCAGACAACTGTTTTGACCACCCAACCATCGCAACGGATCAGTTACTTACCAGTAAGCTGTAGAAGTGCTTGATGAGGACGGAGACCACACGCAGCAACCTCATGCAGATGGGGAAGTAAGGTTTCTCCACAGGAGCTGGTGAAGCAGCGCTGCTGCTGCCCTGCCGGAACTTGATGTTAGGGGAGAAGAGCTTGATGACGAGGGGACAAACTCTTTCTTTTAGCAGGAAACTGAACTCCTGATGCTGGGTAGGAAGCAAAGGGAGACCAAAACATCCTGTGAATTAATTTATTTTATTGTAGAATGTTTCATTAAGAATTTTATTGAAAGGACAAGATGGATCAGATGGATCTAAACCTTTTAAAATAAAAAAAAGTTGGAACCTAACAATGAGCAGACTTTTCTCTTTTTTGCCACTTCTGGTCTGACACCTTGTTTTTGGTCTAGATCAGGGGTGGGCAATCTCAGTCCACGAGGGGCGGTGTCCCTGCAGGTTTTAGATCTCACCTTGGGTCAACGCACCTGAAGCACATGATTAGTTCATTACCAGGCCTCTGGAGAACTTCAGGACATGTTGAGGAGCTAATTTAGCCATTTAAATCAGCTGTGTTGGTTCGAGGACACATCTAAAACCTGCAGGGACACCTGCCCTCGTGGACTGAGATTGCCCACCCCTGGTCTAGATGTTCACAAACTCGCTCTTTTTTCTCTCTTTACCTGCAGGAATACACCGGGGAAATCATTAAGAACAGACTCCAGCAGCTCAAGGCCAAACGTCCGTGTCATCTCTGTCATCCCCACCAGCCAGTAGGGGGCGTCAGCATTCACCAGCTGGCACAAGTCCTGCAGGAAGGTGAACAACAGCCTTCAAAACAATGCAGTGTTGTCCTACCCACATCACAGTGGCTGAAACAGGGCTTTGACCGAGCTCTGCGTGAAGAACAATCATCATCACATGAAAGTGTAATGTGGGTGAAAGACTTCAAGACAACCGAATCCCTCTTTTAAAAAATTACTTCATTTCAGAGATGAAAAGAAATATTTCTGAATTAGTTTTACTGGACCTCAATTTGAGATTATAAGAAAGATCTCAAAATCAGCATCTAACCAACTCTGACAAGAGGGCAGGACGGCTTATAGAAGGCTACCGCCCCCTGGTGGACATACCTGAAACAGCATGTATGCATCCTTTGCACTGGGTCTCAAAGTGCTAACAGACCGGCGGTTGGTGTTTCCCTGGACAGGAGGGGGCTGCTCCACAATGCCTTGAGGTTAAATACAAAATACATTACACAGTAAATTAGCTTGCAATTTAAAAGCATTTTTATCTATGTTCTATTTAAATAGCTTAAGGTGTAAAGATGTACTTTTCAGTTTTTCACACCATCTGTAATATTAAGCATCTCAGAATTTTACTGTATCATCTTCCTACTTTCAGAACCAATGAACTCTAACCTTTAAAGCGCTCGTCCTCAGCCACCATCCTCTCAAACACCACGGTGACAACTTGTCTAACGGTGGCAGCTGCTGTGTTGTTGGTGATGTTGTCCTTGGTGAAGTGCAGACGAAAACACAGCACAATAGCCTGGGCACAGGGGAAAAAACAAACTACTGCTACTATACTGTTCATCCATATAATACATGCAAACAGTGTGTGTGTCTATGCTTTTACCTTGGATAGCACGTCATCATGTACAACTGTGTTGGTGGTCAACAGGACGAGGACTGTCTGTAAAAGTTTCAGCTCTTCCAAACCATTTTCCATCAGCTGCCACAACATGTTGATGATGTTCCCTGCTGCTGCCTGTTTCACACACACAAACACACACACAACTAAAGTACATAGCCACACTCTGAATTTAGGAGGCATTATCAGAGTTCCTAGCTGATATCAGGCCTTTGGCTTGCCCAAGGTAACAGCCATAAATAATAGACATGCACAAAAACACACTCTTGTGGGAGCAGATGGTTGTGCCTGCTTGGGGTTACAACATCACCCAGTTCAATAACACCAGATCTCACTGTCAGTTTCTGCTGATAGTAAGTGACACCGCACGTCCTTTCTCAGGGTCAAGCTATCCAAAATAAATCTACATGCATCCCCCTAACAGCTGCTTTTATGTGTAACTGGCTCAATTCACAAGATAACAAACAAACTCAATTTTCAAATATGAACGCATCTCATGCTCTGCCACAGCCCTGCCTGAAGGCACTGCTTTAGAGTCGTCTACTCTCCTCAATGCAATATCTCAGCAATGCCTCAAGGAACTTCTGCAAATTTGGCACAAATGTCCAGGTGGATTCAAGAATGAAATGATGTGAATTTATTGCTGAGATCACCGTGAATAGACAAGACATGCTTGGGGAGATAGATGGGAACTAAATCTCAGTTGGTTTGGAGAGGCCTGTACTTCTTCACCATCCTGTCTTTCTCCTATGTCCCGCCTACTTGGTGTGGTTCACCTGACCTCTGCTCCTGGCTGCTTTTGTTAGAGACCACCGTTTTAGGGGAGCTACTCCTGCATGGTTTTGTTGTTTTGGCCACGGAGGTTCAAGAAGTTTAGGATTTCTTTTTCTTTCTTTTTATGAAACGAAACAGCACAGGTTAGAAGCTGCTTTCTGTTTTACTGGATTGACCTGCATCAACCCGCTCTCCACGCTGTGCTGTTTTTGTGTGCAAACTTTTTTGTATTTGTAAAATAAAATACTAAACGCTTAAACTCTCAGTCTGTTTAACTAACATTACTACCCATCTACTACTGGTGAGTGGGGGAAATAACAATGAATCTGAATGATTAAAAATGTATTATTCCTTTTAATTCACAGTTAAAATTCACAGCTATTTTCAAGGATACAGCTTTAAGAAACAGCCATTTTTCCTCTGGTCAGCAACAAGGGTTTAAATTTAGTTAAGTTTCTTCTTGGATGTCCTGGGATTCAGAACATTTCAGTGTTTGAGGTAAACTACTGCGTGGAAAGAGAGAGACAGAGCGTGAGAGCGAGATCTGTGTGACAAAAATAGTTGATAAGAATTAGCGCTAAGTAACCCAGCGTGACCAGTTCTGACAAAGAATTTTCTCAGGGAATGCCGAGCGCATCTTTTCTCCCACCAAAGGAAAAAAAAAAGAAAACAAACAAAAACAAACAGAGCTTTGAAATCTATTTTAGTGTAATCCAACAAATGATGATTAAAATGAAGAAAGCCTGCTTTGCAGTGTGCTAACACCTCTGGGGTAACATCTTGGAAACCGCTCACATCTCAGGTCTGCCAAAAGCTGCGTTGTTTAAAAGGTCGAAAACCCCTACACCCATTACACAGGCTACCATTAAACGACGATTTCAATTTGGAAGTTATTGTAGCCTCCCCTTTCCTGAGATCGGTACCTTATTCCACTCAGTTTTTCTGAGTTGTTTAACTGCCACTGCGCATAAAGATGATGTTAAACTGTTCAAGTAATAGATTTTCTAGGTCAACGGGTTTCACGAAAATGAGCAGTGGAAGTGGTAAAGGTGGTCTGCGCCTTTGAGATGTAACCACCAGTGGCAGGAACGAGGTCAAATTAAATTTACACTGCTTGATTGGGTATTGATGTGTTGCAGTGCTTGCAGTATTGACCCAATTGGATATCAATCAAGCCTTAATTTGTCCATGCTTACACACTGAAGGTGAGCATGAAACATTGAGGTTTAAAACAGTCTTTATTTACTTCCAGGTAATCAAACAAAAAACAACAGAAGGCCACAACCCGAAAGATTCAAATAATGCTAAAAAAGAAAAAACAGCACATCTACTTTCCGTTGTTTTTAATGAGTCGTTCAATCACAAACTCGAAAAATGTGTTTTTCATGGCTGTGTTCTCTATAAAAGAGTTTTCTTCACTTGGGAACAACCTTCCAACAAGGACGCACGCACCGACTCGCCACTCTTTGAAATAACAATCACACTGTATTTGTGAAGCTCAATGTCACACAGCGAATCAGCAAAGGCCTCTTACTGAGTGCACCTGCCAAAAGCAACTCACCAATGAGTGCATTAGTCTAACAGCCTGATGATTATTATTGCATTTATTGTGATGTGTGTAAATTAACATGTATCAATCAAACTGTCCTCAATTCGGCACTGCTTGTTACCACACTGTGGTTTTATTTGGCCTTCTACACACTAGATTCCCTTCTTGTGTACACATCTGCAGATCATACATATGAAAATATAAATATCCTATTTTCAAATAAAAGGCTAGCTTATAGCCCTCACCTCAGATACGACCTCGTGGGACATGAGTCTCTGGATGGCGGCCAAACACAGCTGTGTGATCTTTGGCTCTTTGGTGCCACAGCCCATCAGGAAAGGCTGCACAACCTCTGAGCTGTTCTCCTTTAGGGCTGCAGGAAAAAGAGACACAAATAAAGTTAAAAAAAATCCTGTAAGAGATTTTTTTTTTTTTTTAAAGATGTCATCATGCAATTTACTTCTAATGAAATGCCTTAAAGTAAAAAAAATATATACATGTGTTTGCTTTTGTTTTGCTTCTGATTTCATGAAGTCTGGTACTGCAGAACGAAAACTTTGGAGAGTAAATGAAAAGAATACATGGAGGTATCAACTTACAATAACAATTATTCTCAAGTGTGAATCATGCAACACTATTCTAGCTCAACAATAATAATAATTAAAAAAAAGGTACCCATTTTGCACTGAGGTTTTTATCATCTCATTTTAAACAGCACTTAAAAGTGAAAAGTGCATTATTGAACTATTAAACTGAATTTAGGTTCACCAGTTATTTACACCTGCACAACAGGTTTCCCAGTTAATCACCATAAAGTTAATGCGTCAAGTAGACTTAAAGTTGAAACAGTGAACAGTGAGCTGCTGTACAGTTCACAGCTATAGAGGGGCAGCAGGTTGTGGACAGTCATCAGTGGAACTCAGGAAATGTCAACTATGTGTCAACTCTGCAAATGCTACCAAAAAGCTAGACTTGTTTACAGAGACGGCGCTAGAACCAATTTTCTATACGAGTGCTGAGAGACCAGCCCCGTTTGAAAATACTTCAATAATTCAGAGCAACAAGCTAGAAAGAGCCAGAAAAAGACTGCAAACAAAGCTCAGAGAGGAGGGAAATAAAAGAGTCATTTATCATATAACTTAATAAACACAATGACTTTTTTGTTTGGTTTTTTTGGGGTGGAGTCAAAGGCCGTTTGTACATGACTTGCCTTTGGCTGAATGCATGCATTATGAAAGGAAAATATATGAAAGCCCAGTGACTATTTCAGTCTGTCACTTGTATGCAGGATGCAGTTGTGTGTGAACAGAAAATCATGAATACTGCCGTCTCCCTGAACATTTGAATATAAGCTTGTTGCAGTTTAAAGCACTAGCTCTGCACACATAGCCAATTGAAGAACAACTAAGTACTTCTATTATCACTCACCTGCTAATATGTCTGTGTTCCTGGCTGCTATCGTCTTAATCTTCACTATACCAGACTCTGCAGCCTAGAGAGGAAAGAGGACAGACATTTAGGTAACTGTTTGATGTGACATCAAATTGAAAGGTGCTGACAGTGCAGCATACATGCACCGCTGGTGGTAGACATGGCTACTTGTAATGGTGGGTGTAGCGGAAAATAGGAAGGCCCAGTTGTAGAAAAACATCTTCATCTTATGAGGAACACCCAGTGAGGTATTCCTCTAAGCTTGAGATGTTCAAAACAGCTGTGAGGAGCACTGTCATAGAATGGGGAAGGGTAAAAGGAGGAGGATGGCATGTGGGGACGGAGAGGCCGCTCTTATCTTTCTTCAACAACTGCATGCCACGGCAAGCCTCTCAAGATGTTTTCTTTCCCATCTTTGTTTCCCATCAGTACTCCACTCCTCATTCCTACATGGTTTCAATTTTAACTGTAATTTCACTTCTTGCCCCAGTTGTTCCACATACAAAAACACCTGTTTAGACATGTTTTAAAAAACTGTTTAAAACTTATTATGAGCAGTTGTTCTCAAAGGCCGTCTGCAGGGCCAGTACTGCCATCTGTCTTGTAATTCTCCTCACGAAAACAACATAATGCTTTAACCTTTGTGGCTACAGAAGTACACACACTGCCTTTTTAAAAGGCTGGTATAATTTTGGCTAAAGAAAGACATTTTTAAAAAAAGGCACACCTCTTTGGATTAGGCACCACTGACGGGATAAATACTGTAACAACATGATTACAATACACCAACATGTCACAAAAGTCGAGCCACTTTGAAGGATCGCAATTCATAAATTACTAAACGGCTGGTAACAACCCCTGCTTAATGGCTAAGCTTTTTCAGAAAATCTTTTACCATACAGCTCCCTAAAAGTTAATCTCTAAAAAAATAAAATAAAATAAAAAAAAAAAGCTTCTCTCCCTCTTCTCCTTTTGTTCCAGAAACCGAACCATAGCGGCTTGCAGGAAAATGAGGGGAGCGCAGAGAGCTTTTTTTAGTCTGAAATAATTGCAACCTTCCTGTTGCTACTTTTGATATTTCCATCAGCACAGACGAGTGAAAAATCCAGCATCAGAACAGCAAATTCTGGCTTTACATAAGCTGTGACAGAAAGAGTTTCAGACTGCAACAATTAGTTACGACACAATTATACAGCATATCAAACATGAGCCTTTGCTGTTAACTGCAGGCCAGGATGTGTTGTGCCATCTTCACAACTGTGAACCCCTTATAACTATACAATATACACTGTTTAACTGCTCGTTAACATAAATACGTAATCAACCAATCACATGGCTGCAACATGATGCATTTAAGCATGTAGACATGATCAAGACCTGCTGAAGTTCAAAGTGAGTATCGGAATGGAAAAAGAAATGTGATTTAAGTAACTGTGAACATAGATGTCGGTGCGAGACAGGCAGGTTTGAGGATTTGCAAAAAAACGATGATCTACAGGCATTTTCTGCACAACCATCTCTAGAGTTTACAGAGAATAGCGTCAGTTCTTTGGGTGAAAACGCCTCAGTGATGTCAGAGGTCAGAGGAACATGGCTACACTGCTTTGAGCTAACTGGCAGATAACCACTTGTTACAACCAAGGTGTTTTTCAGGAGAGCATCTCTAAATGCAAACACATTGAACTTTAAAGCAGATGGGCTTCAGCAGCAGAAGACCGCATCAGGTTCCCCCAGGTTTAATACACTGCAACCTATTGAGTATTCATGAACGTTTCCATCCCTTTATGGCCTCAGTTGAACCATTTTCTGATGACTCCTTCCAACAGGATAACGCACCATGTCACAAATCTCAAATTATCTCAAACTGGTTTCCTGACAGCAAGTTCAGCGCATCTAGATAACCTCCAGTCACCAGATCTCAATCCAATAGGGCACCTTTGAGATGTGGTGGAACGGGACACTGGTATAATGGAAATCCTGAACAATTTGCAGGAACTGTGTGATGCTGTCATGTCAATATGGACCAAAAAATCTCTGATGAATGTTTCCAGCACCTCGTTGAATTTGCATCATGAAGATTAAAGCAGTTCTGAGGGGAAACGTGGGTCCAACCTGTTACTAGCAAGATGTAATAAATGAAGTGGCCAGTGAGTGTATTTGCAACCTGTGCAACAACAACTATCTATTCAACTCAAAAGAGTGCACTAGAAATATTGCAGCATGCAGACAAAGTCGTGGGAAATATGTGCGCACTTTGTTAAGTCAAAGTTTTTGACGTTGTGATGAGAGAATGGATTGTACTTTTTAAAAGGCCTGCCTTTGCTGAAGTAGCCATATCTGTTAATAACCACAGTGACTACTCTATAAAAATGAAAGGAGAACTAAAGGCATATATGAACTGACAATCTGTGTGTCAGTTGAACAGAGACAAGCAAGTTCTCCAATTAGAAACAGATTGTGTGTCCTTTATTCCGCCTCCAACTGAACCCTCCCATATGAAAAAAATGCCAGTGAGTTTCCACAAAACCATTAAAACTTTTCACAATAAAAATATTTTCACATTAGCCTACTAATTGTTGGAGTCTGTGGTTGACAGGAAGTTGCAACATTTCTCCCCAGCAGACAAACTGATCTTTCTCTCTGCTTCCTCATAGAAAGTGCTGTTTAAGCTTTCTAGCGTAAAAAGTATCCCCCCCACTTGTCTCTGGAAAACTGTCAGCATTAAAAAGCCTCCACACTGTTGAGGATAATACCACTGGCTTGATGATGCCATTGCAACAGAGAGAGACACCAGAAACTGTCTATGTTAATACATGAGTTCTTTTATTGGTGTATCTGAAAGTCTATTCAAAGGTAACTGCAGTGTTACTCTAGTAAAATTTACCAGTTAAAAACCTTGCCCTCTTATCTATGTCATAAAGTCAACTATTCTGGTATCACTGAACAGATACATTATCAGTCACATTAAGCAGCACGCTGCAGAGAATCCCTGGCTGAGAATTAATTCTTTGAGTTTGTATCTACCTTCAAAGACACTTGGTATGTGTTCACTTTAACAGCTTTCAAAGCAGATTATTTAGGCCATCACTAAACAAAATTCTGAATGTGCTCAACACAAGGAAAAAGTCAAAAGGTTACTGCTTTTCAGAATAGACATCATTTATCTGCTAATCTGATACCAACCACCAGTATTTTATTATTTGACCATTATCAGTATCATGTGCAAAACACTGTGTAAACATGACCACATGTGGGATTCGAGGACATTACATAAAGAATGAGATGCTAAGTTTGAAATCTCAGGACTTGACTGGGAGTACACAAACAGAAAAACTAAAAAAGTCATTTAGTACTTCTTACTCTTCTTACAACTAGTCCATGCAGTCATCTTTAGTAGGCTTGACTACTGTAACAGCATCTTTACAGGTCTACCTAAAAAATCAGTCAGACAACTACAGCTCATTCAGAACTCTGCTGCTCGAGTCCTCACTAAGACCAAAAAAGTGGACCACATCAGTCCAGCTCTGAGGTCTTTACACTGGCTGCCTGTCCGTCAGAGGATAGACTTTAAAGTTCTGATGCTGGTCTATAAAGCTCTGAATGGTTTAGGACCAAAATACATCAGTGACCTCCTGACCCAGTATGAACCTTCCAGATCCCTCAGGTCATCTGGATCCGGTCTTTTATCAGTTCCCAGAGTCAGAACCAGACACGGAGAAGCTGCATTCAGCTTTTATGCTCCTTATATCTGGAACAAACTCCCAGAAAGCCTCAGATCAGCTGAAACACTCAGTTTATTTAAATCCAGGTTGAAGACTCACCTGTTCTCAGCTGCATTTGAATAAAACACCAAATCCACACTTTTAAGCTTAAATTTCAAAACTTACATTTTAACTACTGATTTTATCTACTGTTTGTTTTTTTTTTTTAATCAATTTTAAATCATGCTTTTTATTTGTTTTTGTTTTTTAATGTCTCTGTAAAGCACTTTGAATCACCTTGTTGTTGAATTGTGCTATACAAATAAACTTGCCATGCCTTTCTTATGGCATTTCTGGCTGTTGGTCACACATAACAAGCAACATGACAGATTAACTTCCTTAAACATGTTGTACTGTGAGACTCTAAACTGAGTAACTTTCTGAAAGGCCTTTTTCAATGTAACAGTGAGAGTTGTGTCTGTATAGTATATAGAGCAGGGCGATATGTCCAAAAATATCTATCACGATATACATTTGAAAATTTTCAAGGCTGGCTGGAAATAATTAGTTGACACTCTTGTAGGATTGCTCTCTTACAAAATAATGAACATTCTCTAATTTTTAATAGTAATTTTATTTTAAGAGAGAGAGAGAGAGAGAGAGAGAGAGAGAGAGAGAGAGAGAGAGAGACATAGAGAGGGGAGAGAGGAAGCACAGTGGGAAGACATTTCTTGTAGTTGGTCACCAGGTTTGAAACATCTCAGGAGGGAATTTAGCCCACTCCTCTTTACAGAAACTCTAAATCCTTTAAAGTTTCTTGGCTGTCACTTGGCGACTGAAGCTTCAGCTCACTCCACAGATTTTCCATAGGAATGAGGTCTGGAGACTTGGTCACTATGGTCACTTCATGACCTTAATTTAACATGTTTCAATTTATTTTAGTTTTTTAGTTATTTATTTTATCTTATCTCATTTTAATTTTCTTTACTTATGCTATTAGCATGTACAGCACTTTGTGAACTCTGGTTTTATGTTAAAGTGCTTTATAAATAAAGGTGGTGTGGTATGGTATGGTAATTTGCTTCTTCTTTGTTGCCTTGGTAATATGTTTTGGGTAACTGTCATGCAGAAAGACTCATCCAAGACCCATCTTCAGTTTTCTAGTTAAGGGAAAGGAAGCTGTTGATATATGGCCCAAACCATCAGCCCTTTAGTTTGGTGAAGTCCTGTACCATGCAGCAAGCTCTTGCCTCAGACAGAGGGTGACTGATGGTCATTTCCAAATAACCACATTGACAGTTTTCACCTTCTCACCAAGCTTCTTGCTGGTGGCTGTGTGCAGCATTTTTTGGCACCTGTTTGGTGTCACACATGGTGGTGGAAAGGTTGGATTGGAAGAAACTGATTTTGTGGACAGGTATGCTTTAGACACATAATGAGTTGAGGTCAGAAGTATCTGTAATCTAATGAATCAATCAATGGGTTAGGGGTAGGCTTAGGCCAGATTCTTTCTGAATTGTAGCAGATCAATTTTGTTTCCCACCCAATGACATGGAAATTAATTTGTAACTTTTATACAATGCATTTTGTCAGAATCTTTGGTTGATATAATGTTTCTCTCCATTAAAATTATATACCATAAAAAATACAGACTGTTCATTTGTTTGGAAGTGGCCACAAAAATTCAAGTGATCAAATACTTATTTCCATTTCATTCATTATTTAATTGAAAATGTATATAATAATTTGGTTGTAGAATAAAAGGCTATTCTATTCTATTACATTACATGTGTCATGCTGTTTTTGTAAGACAGGCTATGAGTGATTGAGGGAGAAGAAAAAAAACAAAACAATGTGATTCGTTCTCTTGCATGTAGTGTCACTGTGGGAGATGGACTGAGAAACAGGAGAGGAAATGGAATGAAGACAGTCGGGGAAAAAGCACATTTTGTTCTTCAGTAGTAAACCTGCAAGCATTTGAGATTTTAGTTTTACAATTAAACTACAGACATAAGTCCCTTAGAAGTCCCTAGAACAGTTCTCTAAAACGTAGACGCTAAAGATGAGGGGAAAAAATGGCCACATTAGCACGATGAAAAAGCTGCACAAATCAATTCAAAGAGCAACCACAGTACCCTGATTGTTTCTTGCATGACAACATCGCCGCAAATTTAACCATGACAGTTTCGATTGGAAAACGTTGTTTCAATCACAACACCATTGATCAGAGCGGGCGGTAACTCAGGTTGGGAGGAACATCAAAAGGGATCTCTTCAATACTCTGATCCCTTGGGGGGAAAAAGCCTGATAAGGATGGGAAAACCTCACTGATGAAAAATCAATATTTGAAGCAACTTCATAAGACCCCTTAGGCAAGGGCCAGAAATCAGTTCAACACGTAAGATCAGTCGCGTGCCATGTCTTTTGATGGCCATACCACTCATTTTGAAACATCAACCACTGAAGTCAATGGACTAAATCTGTAGTGAGCAAAACACAAAGGAAATGGAAGCACTTGCTGAGCTATTTCCCCTTTTTTTCTCCATGGGAATGTTGCTTCTATCCAAGGTGAACCCTGAGGGGAAACAAACTAAGCTGCCATGGCGTGATATGAATTGCTCTGCTGAGCTGGCTGACGAGTGCTGCTGTGGTCACAAAAGCCTCACATAAAGACGTCAGCCTCGACTACCAGCGGTTGTTCCAATATGAATACTGATGAGTTACAAGTGTTGCCGACATTGTTGTCTATGCCCCCGCATATGCCTGCTGTACAGTTAAACTTGACATTTTATCATGCTACTTGCTTACATTTCTAAGTGAAATGTTCAAGTGTACTTCTTTTGTACACGGCCTTGTATCGTTTGTGCTCCAGTCATTGAGTAATCAGAAATGTCACCAACAAAACAGTGCCACGCAACAAAGCCAGTGTGAAGGCCTTAATAATACAGTAAGTCATTCAAACAACAATGTGTGTGTGAAATCACTTGGCTGTGTCAGTAATTAACAAGCCTGTTGAAACCAACTCTCAGTGTCAGACTGCAGACAGGAAAGGTCAACAGAGGCCGAGTATCACCAAAGCCCTTAAAAACAAAGACTTTTTACTTTAAAAAATAAAGATAAATTGGAATAAAGGTTTTAAGGGCCTGTTCGCTTATATCACGAGAATCACTCCCTGTCAAATGATATCTGTGGCATCCATGCTCATATCACATCTGGTTTTAAAAATGACTGTGTTTCCCATGTATCTTTGATTTCTGCAGCCAGACACCTGCATGGACTCTGAGTCTGAGTTAATACAGTTTTGTATTTTCTGATTACTTTTTATTATATTGTTAGTTTTCCTTTTTAAGTTTCAGTGAGTTTCCATAGCAGGTTGACTGGTTTCACTTTAGTTTTTATTAATTTCAGTGTTAGTTGTAGATTTTTAAAAAAAATCTGTAGAGATATTAAAATATAAACAGAACCTTTTGAATGCTGACTCAGTCTTGTAGACATCAAAAGCCTCAAAAAACATGATCATAAAAGTCTCATCAGGCAGTTTGTGATAGCAAATTTTAACAAATTAACAGATAACAAAACTAAGTATATTTCATCTATAATACATTTTATTTTAGTTTGTTTTTCCCATTCAAATCGCTTCTAGTTCTAGAAGGTCTAGTTTTTATTTTTAGTTTAGCTAACTAAAATGTTTTCTCACATTTAGTTTTACTTAACTATAATAACTTTGGTGTGAACCCTATGCAAGGTGGGTGACAGTGGCCCAACCACTCTTGCCCAAAGATGCTAGCATCAAATAAAATAATACAAAATAAAATAAAGTACATTTACATTGCTTGACTTGAATAGTTAGTTCACCCCATCCCCAAAATACACGTTTTCTCACTTTTACTTGCCTTTTCATAGCCACTGAAAATTTAACTTCAGTGTTTACGCCTTTGACATAAGTTACATCTAACAAAGATACTTAAAGTGTAGCTACGTAAAAAAGTTTAGCTCGGTGTTTTTGTGAATCTGCTTCTGTTTAAACGCATTACACCAAACATATTAAGCGTGGGGAGGCCCAGCAGCTGATACAACTTATGAGAAGTACAGTATGGGAACAACTCAAAGGCCCCACGGTTGCTGTGACAGAACGAGCTCATACATTTTTTAATGTAAACCCTAATAAAAACATAAAACGAGCTTCACAAACGGATGCAAACTGCTAAAAATCGGGGCTCGGTGAAGCTAACTAGCAGGCTAACCTCTTTGACAGGGGGGAATTTCTTCTTGCACTCCATGGAGAGAGACCGCAGATCCGTCTGCATGTTCTCTAGTAATTTCTTCACCGCCTCGGGACTGCTGGTCGACATCTTTGACGGCGCCTTTCGATAGAAAACCTCAGAAATACTTTAAACGTTGAAAGGAATGTGGGAGCGCGGTCGCCCCCCCACCACCCATCCACCGTGGGGGGATATAATCCGTCACTACTTTATTCGCCTCCCTCGGAAAAGGAAATAAAAACGCTGCGGTCCATTGATACGGGATCCCACTTCTGTGCTTCGAGCGCCCGTGCGCAGGTGAGCAGCGATGACACCGGCATAAGTCCGACCTCCTCACAGCCAGCTGACATTAGCTTCAAGGAGTCGCATCGTTACCCTAAATTTCTGCTTCTTACGGCTGCTTACTAGTCGAAGATATCTGCTAAATTGAGCAGTCTGCCATCAGCGGCCGTGTCAGCTCCACTTTCTTTCCCACAATGCTTCGCTGGACACTGACACGTCACTTGGACTTCCGTAAACAGTGGCGTATGCAGGTGACTGCAGCGACCTCTGCAGGAAGAGATCGGCACAGACAGATAGCCACGAAGCACACAGTAGTCTGATCTGGACCACGGTATCAGCGCTTCTGCTCGGTTACCTGTCCACATACACCACCTATTGGCCCGGAAAGAGGCTGCAGGAGGCTGTCTAGAAATGTCTTTGCAGTGCTTACAAAAACAAGAAAAAAAACGATTATTGACAATATCAACAATTTTATTATTTTAAGAAATACGTTTAACTGACTAATTAAGGTTCAATTTAACTGAATATAACCTAAAGTGTTTAACTTGATTGTGCATTAATTCAGCAATTAAATAGACAAGCATTTGTGAGTAGTTTGTCTTGACATCAATGTAGTCACTGCATTTACTTAAATACAGAAGCTATCGGTTCATGAATGGCACTTTTTAAACATAAATGTGCCTTCCAGTTAATTGTTATCACAAGATATAATGCATGAAAATGAATTGTGAGCATTTTTCACCGTGTCTATTGTTTGTAAGATAAATAAAAAGAAAAATAAAGAAAAATATATCTACAGTCTACAGTCACCCAGAACTGCTTGTAAGTTTCCACTGCACCAAGCTGCACCAAGTTTCTGATTTTCTTTTCATCCAGGTTCAGATTTTTTTATTTCCAAAATAAATATGTAAATTTTGGTCTTTGTTCTGCATCTCACATGGATCCCTTCACCGGCTGCTTTCAGTGCTGCCTTGCTAAGGAATGCAATTTTGTCTTTGGGGAGGTCGGAGTGCAAAGTTTCACACCTTAGACTCATTTAACTGCCAAGAAAAGAATGGAAAAACAACCCCAATATTATCAGAAGCACAGTAACAATCCTTTTACAATTGGAGTGGAATTATTACTTTCGAACATATTGGTTCTGTTAAACCAATCATTAACCAGATTAATTCAGTGTTTTCTGTATCAAAACAGCTATAGAACACATTTACCTGGTGTTACACCAAGTAATTGACACCAAATAGCTTGGTGCTGCACTCCAGCCTGTACCTCACCTTTTCCAGTAACTCACACTTCTGACACTAAATGTCAAATTGTGACATTTTACTTCAGGACCACATGCCGAATTCTGTCAAAACACTAGAAGAGAATACCCTAAGCAATTCACTAATATTTCTGAGGATTTTCACCACTTTGAAGAAACGACAGAGGAAGTTTTTGTGTTAGTCATACCATCTCCTCAGGGTCACTGCCTATAAATACTTCCTTGTATAAGAGATTCTGATGTTTTGTTTTTGAGTTTGTTAAATGCCTGTCATTCTTTATACTGATGTAAGACAATGTCTTCTACTTTGAAGAGCCAAGGGCTAAAACTAAATTCATAAACCTCTACATTTTTATATGTGTACTATAAGACAGAAAATGATAAGAAACTACAACCGGGAGTGCATATGCATCTGCCTGGAATACCTGGTATGATGGCTGATACTGACTAACACTCCGGCGTTGTACATATATGCATCGATTTCTCATGCTGATGATGTGTAGCGGCATATGACATCTACAGTCATGGTAAAGAGAAAGTGCGCCCTTTTTCACTTCTAGGTTCACATACCAGGAGATTTAAAAATAAAATATCATCCGACCTCTCCAGCCTTAAAATTAGCTAAATACCACCTGACATGAACAAAACATGATATGATATATCACATGGTGTCATTAATATTTATTGATGAAAAACTAAGCCAAAAATGCAGAAACACAGTCTACATGAAAATTTAAGCACACCTTAATGGCTTTCAGAGGAATTAAGAGGTCATGTCAATCAAAGGCATTTGATTATGTGATCATCAGAGCATTCAGGTGTGTGCTACCATAATTCCACAGAGGGAAAACATCAAAAATTATCCCAGGCAACCAACTGTCGGTGCCCACCAGTCTGAGAAGGGTTATGAGGCCACTTCCAAATAGTCCATCATTCTATAGTGAGAAAGATTATTCACAAGTAGTAAATATAAAACAATAAAAGGATCATGACAATACAATCTACAAAAAAATACTGAACAAACAAATGAAGAGGGTGTGCTGAGAAGGTGGAAGGAGTACACTGACGGGTTGATTAATGAAGAAAATGAGGGGGAGGATAGAGGACTGTTTGTGAATCAGGAAGTGAAGAGGCTCAGTAAGGTAGGAGAGGGCAACTATGAGGTGGGCAAAGAGTGCAAAGGTAGTGCGTCCAGATGACAAACTTGTAGAAGTATGAATATGTTCTGAAGAGAGGGCAGTGGAGTTTTGACTAGATAGTTTAACACAGTGATGAAGAGTGAGCGGATGTCTGGGGAAAGGATAAGCAATTTTCAAAAAGAAGGGTGATGTGCAGTGCTGAGATAAAGCTGATGAGTCACACCATTATGATATGGGAAAGAATTGTTAAATCTGGGTTTAGAAGAGGGGCAACGATCAGTTAGGAGCATAAGTATATGAGGGTGGCACTGCATGAGAGGAGTGAGACATTGGTGAGGTGTGTGGTAGGAGCGATAGATGGGTTCATGGTTTAGTGAAGGAAGGCGAGCTAAATGACTTCCAAAGCAACACACAGTGCACAAGAGAGGTGAAGAAGAGAGTGCAGGCAAGGTGGAGTGGGCATAGACAGGTGTCAGGGGTGATGTTTAGAAACAGAAGTAGTGTCATATGTGTCATATGTAAATAATAATAATACAGAAATACAGTTTATACTGAGACTCACTTCACACAGCAGTCAGAGACATTCTGATATGACAAATAGCATAAAGTTATAAAAATTTAATAAGGCAAAAATAAATAAAATGAGTAAATAAGGGCAGGGATAGCTCAGTAGGTAGAGTGGTGGCCCCATGACTGGAAGGTCGGGGTTTCGAATCCACTGAACGGCTACCCTGAGGCACACCTGAGCAAGGTACCGTCCCCACACTCTGCTCCCCAGGCGCCCAATGGCTGCCCACTGAGTGAATGGGCTAATTGCAGAGAGGAATTTCCCCACAGGGATCAATAAAGTATACATTATTATTATTATTATAAAAATGTCCAAGAAATTCACAGAGAAAGTACAAGTAATAAATCTGCAAACAGTGAAATGAGTCAGAGACCTGAGGCTTTTTGTTTATTCTTGTGCAAGTTTGCAAAGAGATCTGTACTGATTAGTGTGATAGCAGACAATAATAAATACAACATAATAATACAGTTGCATTCTATAGCTGTGATGAGGTAAGAGAGGGACTGTGTAAATTGTTTTATTCAGGAGACTAATGGCCTGTGGGCGGAAGCTGTTTGAGTCTTTTAGGCCTCGATGTCAGACTCCTGTAGCGCTTGCCCGAGGGCAGAGGTGTGAACAGGTGATGTTGTGGGTGTTTACTGACCTTCATGATGTTTTTTAAGTACGATTAAGTACACTTTAAATAGTCAAAACATAAAATACAGCATTTATTTTTTACCTATAGCGTAGACGTCCTGGTTGGGTTGTGTGATTTGAATGTAAAATTCTACATAAATGTTCATAACTGGAAATGAGGCATCACATACACAATTGCTAAAATGTAAAACATTTATTTGTAATCAAGGCCAACACAAATTCACTGAAGATGTCCCACAAAATATACACATGTAGTAGAAATATATGTTCCAAATGAAGGTATTTGTATTCATTCATTTTAAAAAAAGTGTTTTAGTGTATAAAATCTTATAACAAAAAGTGTTCATGCTCCATAATCAGTGATCATATATTCATTTCAACATGTAAAGAAAAAGAAACACAGGCTGAAGTTCAATGCGATACAGCAGAAAGAGATAACAAGCTTCTTCTTCTTCTTCTTTTTTGGAATGAATCTCCTGCATTGGAACTCACTTCTGATATAATCTAAGTGGATCAACTGTCCCTTTGCTTTGGGTACCTTTTAACTTTATTTCATACATTCCCAGAATTAGACATAAGGCACATTAAAACAAGACTAAATTAAATCCATGTCAAGAATCTGAACATTTAACATAAACATTTAATATAAAACATCAATACAAATCTGCAGTGCCCAAAGCAGACCAAAATTATACAGAGAAGCCTTTAAAATGGTACAAACAGTGTTAAGATAAAAATAAACAAACAGAGTTTAAGTGGGTTGATTTGTAGAAATGTAACCAGTCTTTGTATCCTGAAGCATTGGTTACTAAAACACCTTGTGTAGTAATGTTTTTTGTGACTTTTTTTTTTACCAATCCTGAGAGAACACCTCAACTGTTGGTGGATAAACAATGTGGTTCTCCTCTGTATACATTAAGCAGATTAATTTAAGCCCAGAGGGGTTTGTGAGCTGTGCGATCATGTGACACTTTCCTGCACTCAGTCTGCAGCAGGCGGCTGTTAAATTTAATGAAGCAGCCAGAATGAGATTCACTGAACATTAGAGATGTCCACAACAGAAGAAAATGCTTCCTTAGAAAGCAGACAGTCAAATGTAAATTCTTTGCCACTGTGTAACAACAGTGTTTACATTGTCACGTTACTCTGCCACAGGCAAATGAGATGTCAACCCACTTTCAAATAACGGAAGTAAATCTTTGCGTAATGTTGCTGTTGCCATCATATGGTACAGTACTGTGCAAAAGTCTTGAGTCACCCCATCGTTTCTTTATACTGTTGATTTTTTTAGCGGTTGATCTCCAGGCTTTCTGAAGATGGTTTGCTTTTTCATTCATTCATCCCAATTCTTAGACCTGACTATTTTTGAAGGAATGTTTTTTTTTTAATATATGACCTGTTTAACACTGACCTGTGAATTATTTGCAAAAACCTAAGTTGCCCAACTCCAGGTATTAACCGGTGTTGTGTCTACACACAACAGACAACTTAGCGAAAAATTCACTTTGAATTGTATCTTTAGGCACTTTACTAGCTGCCTGTTGCAAAAACAGTATTGTCATAGAAAGAGTATTTTTGCACCAACAAGGTGATTCCTAAAAACCTATTACGTG